GTAATAAGGAAGGGTCAACGGAAGAAGTCAATGTTCAGAAACAGAAACATGGAGAGGATTCCGTTGTAGAGAGAAGTCGCCCTAAAAGAAAGAGGTCTCGAATTAGGGGTGAATGCCCCGCCCTTGTTCGTTTCCGATGGGATGAGAATAGGGATGGATATGTGGTGCACAGTTTCATGGGAGCTCACAATCATGATTTGCAGCCCACCAAGCATGCTCACCTATTAAAGTCAAACAAGTCCGTGAGCGTTCCTCAAGGACTTGTTGCTGAAGCAAATCGCAATGCCGGGATGAGCCTTAGGTCATCGTATCAGCTATTGGCTGAGTGTGCCGGTGGGTATGAGAACTTGACTTTTACCAAATGTGATCAGAAGAACCATTTGAACAAGAATAGACAAAAGACTATGTCTCGTGGCGAAGCGACTTTCTTGATGGACTACTTTCAAGACCAAAAGGAGAAGTATCCCGGCTTCTTTTATGCTGTAGAGGTAGATTGTGAGGAGAAAGTTGCCAATATTTTTTGGGCAGACAGTAGGATGCGTGAAGATTATGCACTTTTCGGAGACTCTGTCTCCTTCGACACCACCTTCCGAACCAATAAACACTTCCGGCCATTGGGTATGTTGACCACTTATTTTCCTTATTTTTTTGGACAACGCAAACGGGTGATAGAGTTTAAACTTTAGGGTTTAGGGTACAAATAGTAGATATTAGTTTGTGTGTTGTGGATACTTGTCTTTCCTAGTTGTAATACTTGTTTCTGACATTATGATATTTTTTCTGGGTTGCTGGATATGTGTCTGGGTTGTCTGGATATTTTTCTGGGTTGCTGGAAGACGACCTTGCTGAATTTGGGAGTGGATATTAGTCTGTCAAACTCAGATATTTTTTAAGCAGGCTACGATATTTATCTACCTTGCTGAATTTGGGTGAGGATATTAGTATGCAATGTAGGGATATGTGTTTTGGTTCTACAAATATTATCTCTAAACATTCGGATATTTTTTTTATATTTTATGTATTTGGTTGTGTGGATTTTATGTATTTCCATCAAATATGCTCAGATTTTAGTTTGGGTGTTTTGGATATCAATTTGGGTCATATGATATACTTTAGTTGAAGGAAAGATATTCTTAATCTATCTTTGATAAACTAATAAACCGAGCAATAATTTAAACGACAATAGTGTTTACTTTTGTACAAATGTTACCAAAATAACACACTCCAGCTTATACTAATAAAGCGAGTGATCAGGATAGAGTTATTGTCTTCTTTTCTCCAAGGACTTCCCAAAATGAAACATAAACATCAACAGTAACAGTACAACATGAAACATAAGTTTCATTTAATCTTCCCTTTTTCCTTATATGCTGCCCACTCCTTTGCATCGTCAAGTACGACATTCCTTACCTTGTTGTACTTCCATTGAAGGAGACTGGCTGCAATGGATGCTCGCTGGTGCTCGACGTGCTTGTCCAAGTGCCAAGTTTCCTTGTATTCCGATGGAATGTGGCCCGCCCAGTGCTCCAAGAACATGCACGCGAACACTCCACAGTCATGGTTTCCATCTTGTTGAGGAACATCCGCAATGAAGAAGTCCCAATCATGCAAGGGAAAATCGAGGTCGTACTTTGCAAGGAAAGCAGCCCCATACTCAAATATCAATTTCCCCATGGGAGAGTGATCCACCTTGGCCACTGCTGGCTTGGGTTTCTGGCTGTCCAGAAGGAAAGTCTTCTGACTCCTTAGATCAGCAGCGTAGACCCGGTAGTGTTTGTCCTTATGCACAGGGAAAAAAACCTGAAACATAGAAAAAAATCATTTATTGTCTCGGACAAATATCCAATAAACCCAGACTAGTATCCAAAACTAACATTTCATGTATTCTGAGGCAAATCTTCAAACAAATCATTTATTGTCTCGGACAAATATCCAATAAACCCAGACTAGTATCCAAAACTAACATTTCATGTATTCTCAGGCAAATCTTCAAACAAATCATTTATTGTCTCGGACAAATATCCAATAAACCCAGACTAGTATCCAAAACTAACAATTCATGTATTCTCAGGCAAATCTTCAAACAAATCATTTATTGTCTCGGACAAATATCCAATAAACCCAGACTAGTATCCAAAACTAACAATTCATGTATTCTCAGGCAAATCTTCAAACAAATCATTTTGGGTCTCGGACAAATATCCAATAAACCCAGACTAGTATCCACAACCACGTAAATCAGTATCGAGATAGAATAAGGATTCACTTACATATTCTACTTTGTCCCATGCAACTTGTTTGAAGACTTGATTCCGCTGGGTCATTTCAGCGACCCCATTGAGTCTCTCCTTGGTCGGGGGCACATTCGTTTGAGAATTAAGTAAGGCAAGATTCTGTTTGCAAATTAAAATAATAGCTAATTAGTTTTAGAAAATTCTAAAAATTGTAAGGTGTTAGGGAAGAGCCTACTTACACCAAAACTGAACGGAAAGATAACTTTGTTCTTGTCACCGGCAAGTACTTTGTCGTTCAAGAAATGACCATAAGCCTCAATCACTTGTAGATTGACCCACTCCTTTCGCTTCAATGTCAACAGATGAAGACGAGCGAGAATAATTGAAGGAGTGTGCACCACCAAGCCCTTACCCTCAGGGGTACTGAACACGAACTCAACCATCAGACGAGCAACTGGGTCGAGCTTTGGCGACACATCCTTAGACAAATAATACACTGAAGAGGAAGCATATGGGTTCTTCTTCGACCTCTCGAACTCTGGGGTCTTCAGTGTTGCAAGCCATTCCTCAGGAGTGTAGCTGTAGAGACGGTCCCTCTCCTCATCAGTCATATCCCTCTGATCGGTGATAATCACATCAGGACTCCTCTCAGCGCTCCTATAAGCCGCTTCTACCAACTCCTCCTCTGAAGGCAACATTCCGGTGGAAGCAAGTTGAGAGAACGACTCCACCACATCTTGTTGAGGCTCAACTTCCTCGGCATTAGCAGCGCTAGTAGCCTCATGAGCTATCTGCAAAATGTCCTCAAAAGATGTATCTGGGAATGGGTAGTGAATCACCATAGGGACTGTCGGAACAACCAACTCCTCATCCGGTGTCTCTACAGTGTTATCAGCTTCATTCTCCACTTGTGGCTCAACCTGGTCCTTCTCTACAGTGTTCTTAGCTTCAGGTTTCTCCACTTGGTCTTCCACCACATCTGTTTGAAGCTGCTCTAGCACCTCTTCAACAGTATTCTCCACTCGGTCTTCCTTCTTTTCTATCAGCTCACCCAGTTTTGTTGCAAAATCCAGCAATTTTCCCATATGCCGGTCAATCCCAGCACCTAGTACCTTGAGCTGGAAGACAAACGAACATTTTGCGGGAATTAAAAACTGATATCCAAACTGCTCGTACAATTATCCCATGTACCCAGACTATTATCAGAATAGAGCGTACAAATATTCTACTTGGCAGAATTGATATCCAAACATAACAAACAAAAATATCCAAATGCATCAAATTAATATCCAAACATCACAAACCATTATTCATAACTGAAAATAACAACAAATATTCAAACATTATTCAAACATTATTCAAACATCACAAGCTGATATCCAAATGAAACCAACAAATATTCCACAACTACAAAGAAAAATCCGACTAATATCCTAAGCCATTCCAACATGGCATCATATTCGTGGAAAACAGTACAACCCCCCACCAAACAACGGAAAACAGTACAACATGGCATCATATTCACTCTTGCTCTTCCAAATTCTGGACAATCGTTTGGACCTTGTCCCTTCGAGCCACCCACTTTTCAATCATGCTCTCAGTGATTTTCTTCAATCCCTTAAGCTACACATATGTTGTGAAATATTTAGGTTACTTTATCGTCCAAGTCTACCATTGCATGATCTTAGTTAGGGAGGAAGAAAACATTTTACCTGCCCCAGCGAAAGGCTAGTCAAATCTTCATTCTCCCACCATTCCGAGGAGGGCAACGGTGCACGATCTGGAGGAGGAGCTGAACTGCTCGCAGCTGCTGCACTAGCTGCCGGCTCGAGCTGACTGCGAGAGGCGGCTTCTTCCCTACTCAGCAGAGCGGCAGCTAGGTCATATCTTCCCCTGACTAAGGGGATAGATAAGGCTGCCCTCTCGACAGTTTGCTTCCACCAAAACCGGCAGCTAGGAATGCTCTTTGTGTGCAACCCGCCTAGCTTCAGAGAGTCCAACAGATGGAGCTGTAAAAAAAATTACAATTAATAAATGTTAAGTTCCATTTCTAGCAATTTAATCAACAAATATCCAGAGTCAACACAAACGAAATTCACTAGTTTTCATGCAATTGAACCAACAAGTATAGAAAAGGTTAGGACTTACTGTCAAGAAGTTGCAATCTCCGAGAACCCACACGCACGGCGATTTCAACCTTGCACTAGGTTCTTTTTTCTTGGCAGCAGTCAACTCTACTTTCAGTTCACGGACAATAAATGTGCACCAATCGTACACCCTCACGTCCTCAACACTCCCACCTAAGTATGGGGCGAAGTCCAGCTTGCTTTTCCGAGAAAATGTCGGTGCGAGCAACGAACCAGTAGCTATCAGCAAGAATTGCTTGACAGCAATTGCAACGGGTGGTCTGGGACCGTTGGCTGGGCAGGCCAACTCCCGCATCTTCTTGATAGAAACCATGCGAGCCCTGTTCGAAGTCATGCCAACTTCCTCGCTGAAGCTGTCAACCATCCCCCCCTCCACGTTCGTCAAATCAATCACAAACCCACCGAGAGGAAGGTCGTAGACACGTGCCACATCCTCAGCTGTGAAGTCGAAGACCTTCTTCGAATCTCCTTCCCCAAAAACAAAAGTACTGGTTTCTAAGTCATAAGCAGCCATCAAGTCATCCATGAAGAGATTGGGTATCTTCGGCATGCGAAGATCCAATAGGCCCCCGAATCCTGCCTTCTCGACTTGTCTCTTGCAGGCTGCATAGTATTCAGCATCTCCTTTCCAGTACTTAATAATTTTGCAGAGGGAATAGGTGGACCCACGAAATCTGAAATATGAGCCGGATGGACCCTCTCCCTCTCCATCATCATCTTCTTCCTCATCTTCCTCCTCAACTTCTGGAATAGCAGGTGGCGGCTGCCTTGATGGTTCTCCTTCACGAGATCTCGGTGCAACCATTTTCGTTCTCTTCATCCCGGGTTGTTCCTGAAACACAGTTATATATTAAGCAAAATATCCATAATCCTTGGACAAATAACTAAAACGCACACTTATATACAATACAATTATCGTAGTAAAGCAAAAGTGTATCCAAACGGAGATAACTAATATCCATGAAAAAATATCCATAATACCCAGAAAAATAACTAAAACGAACAGTTAAGTATCCACATTAACAGAACTGATATCCACACATCAGAATATGTATCAGTATTATAATCCAACGTACTAGTATCCACAATATTTCAATGAATATAATATATGCCCAGACTAGTATCCATACAAAATATGTATCAGTATTATAATCCAACGTACTAGTATCCACAATATTTCAATGAATATCATATATGCCCAGACTAGTATCCTTGGACAAATAACTAAAACGCACACTTATATACAATACAATTATCGTAGTAAAGCAAAAGTGTATCCAAACGGAGATAACTAATATCCATGAAAAAATATCCATAATACCCAGAAAAATAACTAAAACGAACAGTTAAGTATCCACATTAACAGAACTGATATCCACACATCAGACACATCAGTTTATTTTTTTTAGCCAATATAACTAATCGAGAAACGAAGTGAGAAATCAAACCTCTGGTGGTGGTTCATCCGGCGGCTGCTGTGATGATCCAGCTGCTTCACGAGATTTCGCTGAAGATTTTGGTGCAACAGTTTTGGGTTTCTTCCTCACGGGTTGTTCCTGAAAAATAGTTAGATATTAAGAAAACTATCGGTTAATGAAAATATTAAAATGCATCCGACTAGTAATTTTTAGCCAACATAACCAATCGAGAAACGGAGTAAGAAATTAAACCTCTTGTTGTACATCAGGTGGCTGCTTTGATGATCCTTCTCCATCATTGTTGGGCTTCTTTTTCGGTCTCCCCATTAACTGAAACAATAAACAAAATGACCACAATAAGTATCACTAGTATCCATGAATCTTAAAATCGTATCCCATTTCTCCAAATATGTATCATTATTATAATCCAACGTACTAGTATCCACAATATTTCAATGAATATAATATATGCCCAGACTAGTATCCATACAAAATATGTATCAGTATTATAATCCAACGTACTAGTATCCACAATATTTCAATGAATATAATATATGCCCAGACTAGTATCCATACAAAATAAACATCAGTATTATAATCCAACGTACTAGTATCACAATTGACAAAAATGATATCCATATAATCTTTAACCAAGGAATCGACAAATGATACCCAGATTGAACAAAATCGTATCCAACAAACCCCCAAAATGGAATTCGAGAAAACAAAATGAAACAATATATAAAATGATCACAATAAGTATCGGAAGTGATAAAACTAATATCCATGTAACATTTAATCAAGGAATCAACAAACAATACCTACATTCCCCAAAATCGTATCCAACAAACCCCCAAAATCTACAAATCGATAAATGAAACCCTAAACCCCAAAATTCGAATCCCACAGACCCAGAATCTGGTAATCTGCAAAAAAAACCCTAAACACCCATATTCGAATCCATGAAACCCTAAATCTACAAATCGAAAAAAGAATCCATGAACCCCCAAAACGAAACCCTAAACCCCAAATTCGAATCCCACGGACACAATATCTGGAAATCGAGAATCAAAATCCTAAACACCCTAAATCGAATTGCATGAACCATATATTTTCAAATCCATAAACAAACCCAGATTTCCACACAAAAAATCCATAAACCGAAACCCTAACATAAATTTTCAAATCCATACAGAAAATGAACAACCTCAGCGTCTTCTTCTACCTCCAACTATCGGCGGCGACGGCGGCGGAGTTTTTCGTCGGCGAAGTCGGCGGCGTCTTCTTCTTTCTTCTCCGTCGGCGGTGTCTTCTTCCTCGTCGGTCGGGAGAGCTTCAAGGGCCACGTCGGCGGTACAACCAGCAACAAGTCGCCGACCTCGCAGCCGTCGTCGCCGTCGAAGATCGTCGCTGTTGGTGGTCTCGCGGTTGGTGGTGGTTTTCGGGAGAAAAGAAGAAGAGAGGGAGAGGGTTCGAAAGTTCGTGGAGAGAGAGAGGGTTCGAAAATTCTGGAGAGAGAGGGGAGAGTGGCTGACCGCGGGTTGAGGTTGGGTTTTGGGCGGGTTTGAAATTTTGGGTTTTACTTTTTTTTTTTTTTTTTATTTCTGTCCCAAATGTGGCTCGGCTTGGCCGAGAAAACTTTTCCCCCTCACAGAATGCCGCCGGCGATTCTCACCCCTCCAATGGTGGCTCGCCTACGTGGCTCCTCATCTCACCGTGTTAGTATATACTAACCACTAATAGCGTTAGCAGAATAACGCTATTGGGGTGGGTTCAGCAAAGGGTGGAAGGGTATTGTTTGCATGGTGAATAATGCAGAGCAAAAGAGCTATTTGATTCCATATCCAGCATCGAATGCAAGCATGATGATTGATGTATATAGTTACAGTGTCGTGTGTTAGAAACACGTTTTCTAAGGAAAACGAGTTTTTATATTATCATTATTATTAGGTTTTATTAAATATGGTTAGTAGTCTTTTAGTAGAATTAGGTTTAGTATTAGGTTTTCTTATCTTTCGTTATAAATATGTATTTTGCGTTTTATTCAGAATCAAGCAAGAACAATTATTCAGAAAAGTATCTCAAACCCTAATCTCTCTCAATTTCGTCACCTATCGGCCATTCTTCTCCTCGATTCCCAATTTCCTCTTCTAATTCCCAATTCTGTTCTTCCCCAATTCTATCTCAATCCTCTAAATACCTATCAATTTCCAATCTCATCAACTCGATCGTTAGAACCCTAGAAATAGGTTTCTAACATTTGGTATCAGAACCCGGTTTCGAGAATTGAGTTCACCACAACTCTCAACCGGGGACGATTTCTACAACTGGTTCGACGATGAGCTCTTCAAAGCTCTCGAACCTGTCGTGGGCAGAATTGCGGGACAGAGCCCGTCGCATCGGCCGCCGTTGGCTGCCCGAAGAGCCGGCGGTCGAGCTGTCTGGCGCCGCCCCAATCGCGCGCCCCCCTTCGTCGGCCGAGACCGCACCGTGCGCTGGAGGAGGTCGGGCCGAGCAGCAGCGCCCCGCGGTAGTCGAGGCCGCGCCGCGCACGGGAGAGGAGAGGGCCGAGCGGCGCCCCGTGATGCCCGCCGCAATCGGATGTCGTGGGCTGTCCGAAGGGTCGCGGACCGCGCAAATAGAAGACGACGGGGAGCTTTCCCACGCACCGCCGGAGAAGGAGTTTCGTCCGGCGGAAGAAAAGAGAGAGACGGAGGAAGAGGGCGGTGGTCCCCTGTTCCTGACCGACGAGCAGGCCAAACAGATGGCGGCACCGCCAGGAGAGGGAGTGCAGGGGGCGGAGACAGGGAGGACGCAGCTGGCGGCGGGTGACGCAAAGGAGGGAGCCACCTCTCTTCTTGCAAACCCTAGTTTGCCTTCTTTGGGCCAAGGAGCAGAACAGGAGCAACCCTTTCAGTTGGGCCGAGTGGATGGGCTTGTTTTAGGCCAAAGGGATTTGCAGATTGGGCCGCAGCTACAAAATAATTGGGCTAAGAAAGGGCATGGGTGTGTGCTAAAAGGAGACCAACAAAGATGGTCCGAACAAGTAATTCGGTCCGGGCTCAATAATAAAATGAACAGCTGGGTTCAAAGAACAGATGAGTCAAGTCTTCAAGAAAGAGTTGGGCTTCAAATGGGCCCCTTGGTTAGATCACTTTTATATGGAGTTAGCTTCATTCGAGTAGTGGAGCACGATTGGAAGAAAAGAAAGCGCAAGAATGGAGGAGGCAAGACGTGGATTGCACGGTAGGCTTGAAGAAATGAGTCAAACTGATTAACCTTGAGGGCAAGGTTGGTCTCAAGGGGGATGGGATGTTAGAAACACGTTTTCTAAGGAAAACGAGTTTCTATATTATCATTATTATTAAGTTTTATTAAATATGGTTAGTAGTCTTTTAGTAGAATTAGGTTTAGTATTAGGTTTTCTTATCTTTCGTTATAAATATGTACTTTGCGTTTTATTCAGAATCAAGCAAGAACAATTATTCAGAAAAGTATCTCAAACCCTAATCTCTCTCAATTTCGTCACCTATCCCTAGGCCGACGGCCATTCTTCTCCTCGATTCCCAATTTCCTCTTCTAAATCCCTAATTCCCAATTCTGTTCTTCCCCAATTCTATCTCAATCCTCTAAATACCTATCAATTTCCAATCTCATCAACTCGATCGTTAGAACCCTAGAAATAGGTTTCTAACATCGTGATTGATGGATACAATAGAAATAGAAGCTTCTATCAGCCTTCTCTTACAAAATGTGCTTGTCTGTGGATTCCATCAACACATAGATCATTCGGCTGTCAGAAATTAAAGCTGCCAAGTGGTTCTGAGATTGGTGGTTGCAAAGCTACGTATGTTGTATCCAGTCCAAATACTTGTGGTTGAAGGCATATGTATCGTGGATCATGGTTGTAACTGAAGCCCCGAACCATTGATCCTTGCTCTAGTTTTGCCGTTACTTCCCTTTTTACAGATACCATCGTGTTTCTGCTACTTCCAATGGTCGGTGAATTGCAGAGGCCAGAACTTACTTATTTGGTTTGGGTCTTATGGGGATCACAATTTTTCCCGTTGTATGAAGCTGAGTGTCTCTCGATGTTGCAAAAGTTAAAGAAGGCGGTGAAACCTCTTTGGAAAATTGGAAGTGGCCCAAGAAATAAGGCAGGTAATGGGGAGATTGGGTGGGGTTAAGCCACTGTTGGTTAGAAGTAGTATAGTCAAAATTGCGTTTTAAAACTTAAAAAATTTCAGGTCATTTAAATATTTCTACGCAGAATTACACTTTACTCTTATAGTTATAGTCAAAATCTACGCTTTTAAACTTAAGAATTTACGTTTTCACGCTTCTAGATCACCAAAACACTTCTACACAGAATCACGATTTTGACTGAATTAGTTAGAAGGAAGACAAATGAGGTAGGTGGTGACATACACTGGTTCACATATTGGCTAATTGGGACAGTCAAGAAGTTGGGATAGTATTCTTTTATATAATATAAATATGTAAGGTGGCGTATTCGGTGCACCCACTTTTTCGGGTGCACTTAGTGCACCCGCCTCATAATTGTCATTCTGAGTATGCGATTCATATCGAAACGGTATCAATTGTTGCTTATGATATTATGAACAAAAAGCACATGAATTTGAAAAAAATTCATTCAAAAATTCGAAGGATTTAGGATGTAAGGATTTAGGGTTAGGGTTTAGGTTTACAATTTGGGATTTTGGGTTGGGATTCAAAATTGAAGGTTAAGGGGTTAGGGTAATAGATTGATTTGTTATGATTCTATTGTTGGGATAAAAAGCTTCTCATCATCAAGTAATTTATATTGTATGCATCTAACACTTTTATTGAGTGTGCAGGAAAGAACTGTTCTCATTTACAGGTTTTATGAAATTGGAATGAAGTAGTACGACAGCACATCATAAGCAAATCAGTACAGCAACTTCGTAACCCTGCCGGTCAAGCTTCGAGTGGAAACCTATGGAGCAAGTTGGACAAGCAAAAAGTTCCTTTCTAGAAGCAAATTATTTGAGTGCCAGCAGCTAGCCTCCTTACAGTACAGAAACTTAGTGCAAAAGCTAAGGAGTTTTGTGATCCGAGTGTGACAGCTGGAATTGCACAATCAACTGCAGATCAGA